TAAAAATATTATAAACATGGCATGAATACATCAAAAATTATAGATACATTGGAGACGTATCAAAGCCCTAGTGGAAGTTCGTGACATGCAATCTTTGGCGTCACACCTTAACCCCTCCACGACATCCACTGACATGTGGCACTATATTTGGGGAAAACAGACTTCAAGGCTGCTGAGTACTACAAATTCTATTTCAGATATGTCCATTCCCACCCAACTTTCAAACTCCTTTGGCGGCCAAATGCACCATGAAGATCAAAGTTTTCGGTTGGCTACTCCTACACGACTGACTGAACACAAGGAACATGCTGAAACGCCGACATTACAACATTGGTGAGGTCTTTGATTACCTCCTCTGTGGGCAGAACATTGAAGAGACGGTTGACCATATGATCTTCACTTGCCCATTCAGTCATTCTTGCTAGGAGAAACTTGATGTTAGCTGGCCTACTTTCAACTCAAGACTTGATCTGATCAATCAAACCAATGAGGCTGGACATAAACCTCTCTTCATGGAAATTTGCCTCACGGCGGCCTGGATTTTGTGGAAAGAACGAAATAACAAGCACTTCAAAGGGATCTGCCCTAGCACTGCATCTTGGCTGGCACGATTCAAAGAAGATTTTAGCCTTCTTCAATACAGGGTGAAAGAGGTCCATAAGACCACTATCACTACTTTTTGTAACTCCCTAGCCTAATCACACCTCCTTGTTTTTGTTGTGTTTCCTAGTGCAGTGCTTCCCTCCACCACCCCTCTCTACTGTGAGGGGTGAAAGAGAGACACCACCTTGTAACAAAAATGTAACCCATGTAACTCTTTACAAATATATAACTATATACACATAGTAGGAGCCTCTCCTATTGTCTTTCCATAAAAAATCAATATAATACCCCATTGTCATCACGGGTATTCATATGCAAGACATACATCAAGTGTTCTCAAATCTAACAAAGTATTTAATCCGATAAAAGTGAAACCTCAAAGGTAAAAACTCAATTCATCGCAACAAGATGGAGAGGGAAAAAAATCATATGATCCAACTCTATTAATAAATCTCGTGGTACATCAAGATCTTGCCAAATCAAGAACACGAGAGAGAGAGAGAGAGAGAGAGAGAGAGAGAGATCAAACACATAGCTACTAGTTCAAACCCTCAGCCTCGAGGGTGGACTACTCCGGACTACTCCCTCCTCATCATGGTGGCCGCCGGGATGATGAAGATGGCCTCCGGTTATGATTTCCCCCTCCGGTAGGGTGCTGGAACAGGGTCCAGATTGATTTTTCGTGGCTACAGAGGCTTGCAGCGACGGAACTTCTAATCTAGGGTTATTTTTGGGGTTTCTGTATTTATAAGATTTTTTGGCGTCGGTCTCACGCTGAGATGGACTTCAAGGGACCCACTACACACCAGCACACGCCGGAGGGGGGTGGCACGCCCAGGTGGGTAGTGGCCACCTCGTGGCACTACTGCCCCCCCCCCACACACACACGAAGCTTCTAGTGCTTCTTTTCTTCCAAAAAAATCGTCCAAAAGTTTCGCTGCATTTGGAGAACTTTGATTTCTGCATAAAAACATCACGGTAGTTCTGTTGAAAACATTGTCGGGTTAGTTTCATTTAAATCATATAAAATTGCACCCAAACCATATAAAATTGTTTTAAACATGGCATTAATTCTTCATAAGTTATAGATACGTTGGATACGTATCAGGCCACGACCGTGTGTGCTGCGAGAGTGGCGGCCATCATGCGCTGCGAGTAGTGAGCACCGGATACAACATTATTGCATAGGCAACATCAATCGTGTTGCGGAGCACTCATCGGGCCTAAATGACGGCCACCACATGCTACAAAGCCGAGCTGGGATGCAACATCACTGGTGTTGCACTGATCGGGGCGCAACATCGCCAATGCTTCAAGATCAAATGATTGTGTGGGAACGAATTCGGCGGCTGGCGACCCGACCGATCTCTCTTAGAATCAGTTGGTTGACGCATAGCACGCATAATATTTTAGTGAAAAGATTACTAAGTGCCAGCGATCGTTTGGACAACAACGTATAGTAGTGGTTTTCTATAACAGTTTAGCTACACGCCAGTCGCCTGAAAAAGAAATTTGGGTCAGTCGATTTGGTAGAGAAGAAAGCAACAACCTTAGAGCATTGAGGCAGGTTTGATCTCGTTTCTTAGGGTGCAAAGAGGGCAGGGGAGAAGTTGCCTCCTTGTCTATCTTAGGGTACAAGGGGTGCACCAGGGGGTAGCAGGCTAGCAGCTGCCCCCTTGTCTATCTTAGGGGTGGGGGTGGTGCATGTTTGCTGGAGAATTTCAAGGGGTCCACCCGTTTAGAGGGATGGCCGGGAGCGGCGACTTCACGGCGGTGGGGAGAGGTTGAGGGGAGAGGGCGAGGCGGCGAGGCTGGCGCGGCAGTGCTGCCGACCACAGGGGATGGAAGCAGGCGGCCCGGCCAATGGCAGCAGGCGGTTGGAGGAAGAAGAGCACAGGCGGCGACAATCTATTTTTTGGGAAGACGTAATCTGAAACGTTCATTTTTTATTTAACAGTTTAGATTAATTATCTGACAAAAAAGAAATTTCAGTGGACTGGCTCCCAGTCGTTCCCTTTTTACAATCTAAGACGGTAGTTAGGATGATTTTATGCAATTCACTCCTCTTCTCTAGTCTAGTGTCAACTGTTAAGATGATTTTAGATCAAACGGCACGTTTGGTCCCCCCGTTCATTCGTTCTCTAGTCTAGTGTCGTCTTCGTCGGCGAGTGAAATATTCCTCCGCTGCCAGAGCGAGAGAAACCCTATCCCCCACTCCAGATCCCAATGGCGTCGACACCTCGCCGTCTTGAAGCCCCGCCGACGACACTGCTCACGCTACCCGAGGAGCTTCTCGAGGAAGTCCTCGTCCGCCTCCCCGCGGCCGCTGACCTCGCCCGCGCCTCCGTTGCCTGGGTCTCCTTCCGCCGCCTCGTCACCGACCACCGCTTCCTCCGCCGCTTCCGCGCCCGCCAGCCGCCGCCTCTCCTAGGCATCGTTTCCCATCGATCCCACCGGTACCTGCCGCTGCTGCAGCTGGCCCAGCCGCCGCACCCATCCGCCGCCGGGGCGAGCACTTTCGCGGGCTCTCACGCCGCTGACTTCGCGTGCTCCTTCCTCCCCTCCGCCGAGCGCTGGCATGTGCGTGACTTGCGGGACAGCCACGTCCTCCTCTCTGGCGTCCCAGAGGGGAGCAAATTCAGTTGCCGCGTCTTGGTCAGGGACCTGGCCGTCTGTGATCCCCTGTACCGGCGCTACACCCTACTGCCTGCCATCCCCGACGACCTCGCCGCTTTAGCGCGGCAGTCGGACATGGGGCATTTCGAGCCCTTCCTAGCTCCTCCGGCCACCGAGGATGAGGATGGCATTTCATTCAGGGTTATTTGCTGGCGCGCTGCACAACCAGGCTGGTCCTCCTCATCTTCTCTTCAGGTTCAGGTGATGGACAGTGGCGCGCTGTTACACTTGACAATTGGGTCAGTTTGCTCACAGGATTGGACAACCCGGCTCCAGGCGTCATGCCAGAATCGTACTTGTGGCCGCGAATGCGCCACTACGCACACGGATACTTCTGTTGGGCATTTTATCCGGCGAACAAAAACAAGTTGATCCTGCTCGACACACGCAGCATGAATTTCTCTGCTGTCAATCTCCCACCTGGCACCAGAAATACACAGGTTGCCATTCTGGGGGCAGGGGAAGGAAGGCTTGGGATGTTTATCAATGAGTATTTGACACCTGAACTCAGGTATGCTGTGTTGCAAAATGATGGAGGTGGTGCAAACCAGTGGCTGCCACAAGGAAGGTTCAGTTTACCCGTAAACTATCGCTATATGCTCGTGGGTGTAGCTGGGGGATACTTACTCCTACAAGGGATCCGGAACCTGGGTATTCCGGAGACCCTTCGGCAGAAGTGATAGACTCGGAAGTTTTAACTCTGAATCTAAGGACTTTACAGCTTGAGTGGTTCTTGACGTCTCAGTTCAGCAACATAGGTTCTCATTTGTTTGCCGGTTTCCCACCATCGTTGTCTCCACCGTCTCTTCCACATGGTAACCTTGCTCTCGGTATTTGCAGACTTGTACTTTGCACTCTATAGGACTGTGGCATATTTATATATTATGCAGGTATTACCGTATTAGTAGTGTGCTATGTCAGTAATAATTGTTTTAGCAAGCTGTTATCCATGCAATTGAAAAGCTGTGGAACTTGGGACATCAAGAAGTATATGTTTCTCATCTTGGGGATATACTCATCATTGTTTTGAGACTATCATAATTATAAGCAAAGCAGGACCATAATGTTCTATTATGCCGGATTTGAGTTTGTATTAGCTACTTTCTTTGAAGTTATTTTGCCTTGTACCTTGCATGCTTGTACTGGTTATTATCCGTCCCAATTGATTGCATTGCTTAGTATCTTTGCAATAAGATTATATTGCTTGAAGCACCCAGTATTTTTCTTAACGTTGATTCAGATATGACGGATGCCTCCATTTCTGATTCAGATATGACAAACATCTCCAGTTCTGATATTGATGCCGCTGGGAGATGAAACCTTGACGTTATAGAGCAGCAACTTGGAGCTTATGTACTGGAATGGTCAGGCTCCGGTATTAGCAGTATCAGGCATCCGTGGAGATGTAGGCTTTTTTTCAGGCTTGTTTGCGGTGCCGAGTGTTGTGCAGCTCGGCGCTAACATGTTATAAAAGAATGCAAATCGAACCAGAATTAGGCAATTTCAGCCGTCCAAAACCTTGGTTCCTACTATCAGATATGCAATGTGACTAGAAGCAGAGTATGGCTTGAGGCAGAGTGTATACATGGCTGCAAATCGGTTCTACTATCTCCGTTGCTTTTTGTAAGAATTTGTGCAAGAGATACATACATACATGCATGGCTTCGTCTTACAAACAGGAACAGATTTACTGCAAAATGTTCTCTCGGACGAAAAAGAATCTACATATTCTGTTTGATGAAGTCTAGATTGAGCGTGTCGCGCACGATGAGGAACATGCTGACCATGAGCACCAGCAATATCCCCGACGACATTATCCTCCGCTCGATCTCACGGGGGATCTTCTGCCCGCCGCGGGCCGCCTCGAGAAGAATCAGCGCCAGCGTCCCGCCATCCAACGCCGGCAACGGCAACAGGTTGATCGCCGCGAGGTTGAGGTTGATGATCGCCGCGAACTGGAACAGCCCGTCAGCGCTCGACCTCGCCACCTCTGCGCCGACGGCGATTATGGCGACCGGGCCTGACACCTTCTCCGCCGTCTGCGAGAAATTGAGGAACGTCTGCCGGAGCCCGTCGAGCACGGCCCCGCCCAGCGCCCTGAACTCGCGCACGGCGAGGACGGTGGCCTCGGAGACGTTCCTTGGGTGCACGCGCGTGGCCCGATAGTTGGGAGAAAGCTGCACGCCGATGCGCCCCGTCCCGTCGACGCTCGTGTCCGGCACGACAGTGAGGTCGAGGAACTGCTGCTTGTCCCCGGCCGCAGGCCCGGCTCTTGACACCTTGAGGAGGACCTTCTTGTTGGGGCTGGATTTGATGAGGTCGACCAGGGCCGGCACGGACGGGTCCGGCGCGGCGCCGGGGACGGCGAGGATGACATCGCCGGCGAGCAGCCCCGAGCGCGCGGCGGCGGAGCCGGTCACGACGTCGGGGACGAGGACGCCGGAGAGCAGCGCCTGGACGGGGACGCCGACGGTGACCGCCTGGGCGTAGATGATGAGGAAGGCAAAGATGAAGTTGGCGATGACGCCCGCGGAGACGACGAGGAGGCGGTCCGGGACGGGGCGGTTGCGGAGGAGGTCGGGGTCGTCGGGCGCGAAGCCGGACTCGGGGTCGTCGTCGGGGAAGCCGACGTAACCGCCGAGCGGGATGGCCCGGAGCGCGTACTCGACGGCGCCGAGGCGGAAGCTGGCGAGGGCGGGGCCGAAGCCGATGGAGAACTGGGAGACGTGGATGCCCCGGGAGGTGGCGGCGACGAAGTGGCCGGACTCGTGGACGAGCACGATGGACGCGAGGACGGACGCGGCGGACGCGACGGACTGGACGCTGGCGAGGAGGTCGGACGGGGAGGCCGCGACGGCGACGGCGACGGAGAAGGGCTTGTTGGCGAGGTGGGAATGGGGGTGGCGGTGGCGGCGCAGCGGGCCGGCGGCGAGGGAGGGCGAGTGGAAAAAGGGGCGGAATGGTGGCTTGGAGATAATCATGGTGAGAGGGGAGGAAGTGGATAATTTGGCATCCTTGGGAGCTTGGAGGTGTGGCCGGTTTGTTGGCCATGGCTGTGTGGTGTGGGTTGACGCAGGCGGGGCGACTGACCGCGGCCACAGCATTATGAGGAGTTTTGCTCAGCGAGCCTGTGTTACATGGTGATTGAGTGAGCTGTGTTGAGGCATGTCTAACCCAAGCCTCAAGAGGACTTAACTTCTTAAAATATTCGTTTTTGAGAGTTAAATCAGATCTAGTCGAATTCTCAAAAGTGTTAGGAGACGCGTGAGATGGCTCTTAATTTTAAGCAGTGGAAACAACTTCTCAGTGGAAGAATACCCTTCATCATGCGGCCGCCTCCCTCGCTCGACTGGCTTCACGCTGACACTATTCTTCTTTTACCCTCACGGCCTCCGCCTTCCCCCTTCCGGCACCATTAAGACTCAATCGCTACTAGTCCTCATCGTTTTAATCGGACGTGGATCCTCTGACTTTGTAATCCCTGTCATACCCTGCCATTGAGTCACTGACTAGGCACCCCGTTTCTTATCGCCGCTGCAGGTCCATGACCAAGACAATTGCTATTTTTAGTTAGAACCGCGGCGGCAACTTTGTAATATGACTCTGCAGTACTTCTGACATTATGCATGCTATTTTCCTGTTCGATTTTCCTTTGTATGTCCACCCTACGTTAACTGGGTAGGCTTGTCGGCGCGTAAACTCAGGGCGACATCTTCAGGACGGATCCCCATTGGCCTGCCGGGTGTGCTTGCTGCTGGGCGAACCACCTTACCGCCCTTAACGCGGCCGCTCGAACTGTCGAGCTTGACTCGAGTCAGAGTCGAGAGCGTTGCTAATTGCGGAAGGCTACCCTGCCGCTCTCGACGCGGCCGCTTGAGCTGTTGAGCGGACTCGAAACAGAGCAAGGGCGTTGCCAATTGCTGGCCGGCCCCTCTGCGTACATGCTTTCCATACATAGGCAGAATCTCCGAGGACGATAACCTTATATTAAGGAGGAAAGTTTAAAGTTTGGCATGACTTAGCTTTTTCGTCGCCGCCGTGACATCCTTCGTGCTCGCAGGCAGCGCCGCTCTCTTGGGCGCCTTCTCCTCCGGTGACCACAGCCGCGGGAAACCACTAGGCCGGCTGTTAAACCAGATTCTCACAATTGCGCGCCCCCTACCTGGCGCGCCAAGGATGTCGGTGGGAAACGACACCTATGGGATCACGAGGATCCCTTCTGCGGCTGCGGGGGCGCAGGGTTGTGAGAAGAGCGGGATTAGCAATCAGCACAAGGATCATTTACCCAGGTTCGGGCCGCGGGGAATGCGTAAAACCCTAGTCCTGCTTTGGTGGGTGTATTGAATGTTCTTGAGCTCTTGAACTAGCTATGGTGGTTGCGTGGTTCAAAAGAGCCGAATCCTCCCTCCAGTACGCCATGGGCCTCCTTTTATAGTAGAAAGGGGCTGCCACAGTGGCACACATGAGGTGGAAAGGCCTACAGTGCTATGAGCTTATCGCTCGTATTACAGGACAAGACGCATTTAATGTGTAGCTTAGGTGTCCTCTTGCTTTATCGGGGACGGGAGCGAGGCCCGTCCCGTCCGTCGCCGCTCCTCCTTGCTTTGACACGCGCCCTGGCCAGCGATGCATGTGGCACCATGTAGGCAGGCAAGCAGCTGAGGTGGCGCGGTGGTGGAGCCTTCACGAAGATCTGCATGCCGCCACGCAGGCATGTGTTGAGTTGGCCTGGAAGCTGCATGTTCCCACGCAGGTGCCTGCCCAGCTGGTTGGGCTGGCAGCTACATGTGAACGGCAGTGGAGACTTGGTTGGTGCGGGCCTGGCAGCGGCCCCGCTGACGCCCTTGGCAAGGGCCTTGTCGGGTGGCCCGGCAAGGGTCTTGCCGTGGCGCGCTGTCATCCCCGGCAAGGATCTTGCCGGGGATCTTGTGGGTTTCCTCGACAATAATTTTGTCGAGGATTGTCGGTGTCAAAACCGGCGGATCTCGGGTAGGGGGTCCCGAACTGTGCGTCTAGGCGGATGGTAACAGGAGACAAGGGACACGATGTTTTACCCAGGTTCGGGCCCTCTTGGTGGAGGTAAAACCCTACGTCCTGCTTGATTAATATTGATGATGTGTGTTACAAGAGTGGATCTACCACGAGATCAAGGAGGCTAAACCCTAGAAGCTAGCCTATTGTATGATTGTTGTTCGTCCTATTGACTAAAGCCATCCGGTTTATATAGACACCGGAGAGGGCTAGGGTTACACAGAGTCGGTTACAAAGGTAGGAGATCTACATATCCGTATCGCCAAGCTTGCCTTCCACGCCAAGGAAAGTCCCACCCGGACACGGGACGAAGTCTTCAATCTTGTATCTTCATAGTCTTGGAGTCCGGCCGATGATGATAGTTCGGCTATCCGGACACCCCCTAGTCCGGGACTCCCTCAAGGATCGTTGCCTTCCAATCCTCATCCAATCTTGAATATTCTTTGCCTTCACAAAGATCTGCATGCCACCATGGAGGTGCTTCCCGAGCCCTGGCTCAATGTGGTTGATGGTGTTGGAGACCGTGGGTTCAAGGGTGGCTCACTCCGCTGGTGTGGGCGAGCCGCCCCGGTAAGGGGCTTGTCGGGGCTGCTGAGGCTGCCCCAGCAAGGGTCTTGCCGGGGAAACCTGCTTCGTCCATCTGCTCTCTTTGGCGTTGCGCTGATCGTCTTGCGGCTTCGCCTCCTCCCTTTTACCCTGCTAAGTGTGGCTTCGGCCCGTGGCTCTGACTGCCCGCGCACAAGTATGGGGTACAAAGGAGTGCCCCTACTTTAGTACACCGACAAAGGCACAAGATGATGATGGCCATATCATATCACTTATATTGATTGCATGTGATGTTTATCTTTTATGCATCTTATTTTACTTAGTTCGACGGTAGCATTATAAGATGATCTCTCACTAAATTTCAAGGTACAAGTGTTCTCCCTGAGTACGCACCGTTGCGACAGTTCTTCGTGATGAGACACCACGTGATGATCGGGTGTGATAGGCTCTACGTTCACATACAACGGGTGCAAGCCAGTTTTGCACACCAGAATACTTGGGTTAAACTTGACGAGCCTAACATATGCAGATATGGCCTCGAAACACTGGAGACCGAAAGGTCGAGCGTGAATCATATAGTAGATATGATCAACATAGTGATGTTCACCATTGAAAACTACTCCATCTCACGTGATGATCGGACATGGTTTAGTTGATTTGGATCACGTGATCATTTAGATGACTAGAGGGACGTTTATCTAAGTGGGAGTTCTTAAGTAATATGATTAATTGAACTTTAATTTATCATGAACTTAGTCCTGATAGTATTTTGCAAATTATGCTGTCGATCAATAGCTCGCATTGTTGCTTCCCTATGTTTTTATATGTGTTTCTAGAGAAAACTAAGTTGATAGTAGCAATGATGCGGACTGGGTCCGTGATTTGAGGTTTATCCTCATTGCTGCACAGAAGAATTATGTCCTTGATGCACCGCTAGGTGACAAACCTATTGTAGGAGCAGATGCAGACGTTATGAACGTTTGGCTAAGCTCAATATGATGACTACTTTATAGTTTAGCGCACCATGCTTTACGGCTTAGAATCGGGACTTCAAAGACGTTATGAATGTCATGGGCCATATGAGATGTTACAAGATTTGAAGTTAATATTTCAAGCAAATACCCAAGTTGAGAGATATAAAGTCTCTAACAACTTCTATAGTTGAAAGATGGAGGAGAATAGCTCAAGCAGTGAGCATGTGCTCAGATTGTCTGGATACTACAATCACTTGAATCAAGTGGGAGTTAATCTTCCAGATAAGATAGTGATTGACAGAGTTCTCTAGTCACCATCACCAAGTTACTGGAACTTCGTGATGAACTATAGTATGCAAGGGATGACTAAAATGATTCCCGAGCTCTTCGTGATACTGAAATCAGCGAAGGTAGAAATTAAGAAAGAGCATCAAAGTGTTGATGATTGACAAGACCACTAGTTTCAAGAAAAGGGCAAAGGGAAAGAAAGGGAACTTCAAGTAGAATGACAAGCAAGTTGTCACTCCCGTGAAGAAGCCCAAAGCTGGACCAAAGCCTGAAACTGAGTGCTTCTACTGCAAAGGAAATGGTCACTGGAAGCAGAAATGCCCTGAATATTTGGTGGATAAGAAGGCTGGCAAAGTGAACAAGGGTATATTTGATATACAGGTTATTGATGTGTACCTTACTAGTGTTTATAGTAGCCCCTGGGTATCTGATACTTGTTCGGTTGCTAAAATTAGTAACTCGAAATAGGAGTTAAGAATAAACATAGACTAGTTGAGGGTGAAGTGATGATGTGTGTTGGAAGTGGTTCCAAGATTGATATGATCATCATCGCACACTCCCTATACTTTCGAGATTAGTGTTGAACCTAAATAAATGTTATTTGGTGTTTGCCTTGAGCATAAATATGATTAGATCATGTTTATTGTGATATGATTATTCATCTAAGACAGAATAAATTGTTATTCTGTTTACATGAATAAAACCATCTATGGTCATACACCCAATGTTGATGGTTTATTGAATCTTGATCGCAGTGATACACATATTCATAATATTGATGCCAAAAAGATGCAAAGTTGATAATGATAGTGCAACATATTTGTGGCACTGCTGTTTGGGTCATATCAATGTAAAGCACAAGAAGAAACTCCATAAAGATGGACTTTTGGAATCACTTGATTATGAATCATTTGATGCTTGTGAACCGTGCCTTATGGGCAAGAAGACTAAAACTCCGTTCTCCGGAACAATGGAACGAGCAAGTGACTTATTGGAAATAATACACACCGATGTATGCGGTCCAAATGAGTGTTGATGCTCTTGGCAGGTATCGTTATTTTCTGACCTTCACAGATGATTTAAGCAGATATGGGTATATCTACTTAATGAAACATGAGTCTGAAACATTTGAAAAGTTCAAAGAATTTCAAAGTGAAGTGGAGAATCGTCGTAACAAGAAAATAAAAATTTCTACGATCTGATCGTGGAGGAGAATATTTGAGTTATGAGTTTGGCCTTCATATAAAACAATGTGGAATAGTTTC